GCTACTTTCTCTGATTTTGGTATCAAGATAAAACTAGATAAAATAGATAAAATGGCCTAGTTTTTAATAGGTTAGTGCTTCTACCAAAAATGAGGAAAGGTAATTAAAAAAAAATTGGAGAAAACCAAAAGGCAAGGAAGCAACGAAAACATAAGGGAATAAAATTGCAAAGAGGGCAGACCTGTTAAAGGTGAGCTGAGGATCTGAAGTTGTCCCTGGAGGCCTTTGAGAAACCTAGGAGTAGTAACAGACTGAGAGTCTGGGTTAGGTCCAGGCAGAAAGTAACTACTGCCCTGGTGGAAAAAAAAAAATCACTGAATTTCTGTTGCTTCCATGGGGCTGAAGTGCCAAAATTAGAGATCTCAGGGCCAGTTTTCTCCTCAAGACATTTTCTGAATTCTAAAGCTATACAGCCGAGGAAAATAATGGTCTAAGTCAAAACCTTTCAAAAGCAAAGTAAGATTTCCTGCAGTTTCACAACATTTCAGAAAAAACAACTCACTAGTGGGAGTGTTCATAAGAATCACAGGTGGCAGCTTGAAAGCTCTTGAGGGATAAATGAATTGATACCGACAATCTCCAATCACAGTTTTTACTGTTAGCAATTGCTGATCTGGGTAAGACACCTACTCAGGATATTTGCCAAATTTTAAAACTGTAAAAAGCAGGAAGCTGAAGAGCTAAGTTTATATGAAAAGTGGAAATTTCCACAGTCCTCTTGGTACTGAAGAGACAATAATATGCCAGGCTCTCATTAAAAGCTCTGAAGAACCACATCCTAGCAACAAATGTAAACCAAAGGTACAATACAACTGCAACCCAAGCTCAATCCAGATCAGTTCATAATTGGATTAAGGTGATGAGGTTCAAACCACAAACGACCCACTCAGTTTAACTACTTAGTAAGGGAAAGGATGAAACAATTCTGGTGGCAGAAGATATTATCTGGAACATCTATTAAAATATATTTTAAAAATAATGTCTACCACATACCAAAAATTGATAGGAAGAGATAGGACCATATGATTGATAACAGCAACAACAATAAAACTGAGAAACAAATCTAACCAATATGTAGATGAATTACATGTAGTGAATTACATGTACATAAGTATCTTTAAAACAACTTCAGAGGAGTAGGATCAAGACAGTGGATTAAGAGGACATGGAGCTCATATCCCCTCAAGAACAAATCAAAATTACAAGTCAAAAAATTCTCACTGAAAACAAACTGGAAACTGACAGAAGAAACCTAATATGAAAAAGGTTGGAAGAAAAATACACAAGTAATCAAGAAGGATGAAGAAAATGATGGGGTTGGGCCCTGTGTTCCTGGGAGGTGACTCAGACTAAAAGAGAGAATACGCGGGTGGACAGCTGCCCAGGGGAGTGAGCAGTGAAAGCCATAAATTAGATGCCCAAGTCCGGGGTCCTATGCAGGAGAGACAAGCTTTCTTGGCTGGTTTGAGGGCCACTGGCACTATTGAGAGGGCAGGGAGAAGTCTGCGGCCCACAGAGGAGGCTCATGAGGAGCACATTCAAGACAGGGTGGAAAGAGGTATGCTCGAGAGGCTGCCAGGTTTCCCACAACCACCTCAGTGCGTGACTCAGCCCGAGCTGAGCCAGTGCACCGTGGCTATTCACTCCACATCTCAGCAGCGTATTAAATCTGTTTAATTAGCAGGGTGGTCATGACCAGGGAGAAAAGTCGATCTTGGGATGCAGAAGCAACCTGGTCTTTTGGTGGAGCCTGGTGGGGGGCGGTCATTGTTGATGCTTACTCAAGCAGAACATCACAAGCAACCCAGATCTCTGATGGTCGCACTCAAGCATAGCTCACCTCCTGACACACACTGAGTCAACATAGGCAACAACACTATAATGTGGTTCCCGAACAGGGAGGGGGAGCTGGGACAGAGGGCAGTGATCAGCTGTGAGGGACAAAGAGGACTTGGACCTGTGGCTCAGTCAGAGCAGAGTAAGGGAAACAAATGTGGGATTGCATGCAGGCAGCGCATCAGAGACAGCTTAAGCCTCTGCCTGTAATCAACACAAGCCAAGGGCCCCCAAGGACCCAACTGACTTCAGTAGTTCCCACCACCTAGGTAAGGCTCCCAGGGTGGAAAAAAGGGGAAAGACACAGTTAAAGGGACAGAGCTGGCCCAGGCCTGAGGCCAGGTCCTCAGGGCTTCTGTTCCAGGAATTTGGAATCAGACCCCACCCCCATAGGGTGTTGATGGCCACTGGGCAGAGGGGAAGCCCCATTTCACACCCGGCACAGACTCCAGCTCCTCCCTCTGGAGCCCCACTCTCTACCAGGCTGATGCTATCAGCACACCCTGAGGAAAGTTTTCACTGCGACTTGGTTCCCATCAAATGCAGCTCTCCCACCAAACGCACACAGCGCACATCGGGTTGCTGCCACATAGAACATCCCTTCAAGATCACAACAGGTAACTGTTTCACCTAAACTCATAGAAACAGATAAGTTAAGCAAAATGTAAAGGCAGAAGAACCATTCTCAACTGAAAGAACAAGAAAACACACCTGAAAAAACAATAAAACATAAATAAATAATTCATCTGATAAAGAATTCAAACCATTGGTTATAAAAAATATTCACTGAATTAGGGAACAGACTATATCTACACAGTGACAACTTTAAAAAACTAGAAACTGTTTAAAAAGACCCAATAAGAAATGAAGCATTCAATGGTTGAAATTAAAAACACACTAGGAAAAATGAAGAGCAAACTAAGTGATACAGAGGAACTTGTAAGTGACCTGTTAAAATAAAGGCGATCACCCAATCCAAACAGTAAAACAGAAAACAAAAAAGAGCAAATTGTAAAAACTCAAAACAGTCTGAGAGTTCTCTGGTATATACTACTACAGAAAAATCAACAAAACCACAAGGGAAGATACAAAGGGAAGAAAAAATGAACAGAGAAGAACTATAAGAACAATCAGAAAATAAGTGACAAAATGGCAGTAACTATATACCTATCAATAATTAAGTATCAGTGGACAAATGCTCCAATCAAAAGATATAGGGTGACAGATTAAATGAAAAGAGAAGACCCTTCTACATGCTGCTTGAGATTCACTTCAAAGTAAAATACACAGACAGAAAGAATGTGAGGAAATGAAAATGGTATTTCATGCAAAGAGAAATAATAAGAAACCCAGGGTAACAATACTTGCTTCAGGTGAAACAGACTTTAAAACAAAGGCTATAACAAAACACAAAGAAGGGTATTATTCCATGATAAGGGGATCGATACAAGACAAGGATATTATATGCATTAATATGCACACCCCAAGAGTACCTAAATATATGAAGCAAATATTTACAAACATGAAGGGAGAAACTGACAATAACACCATAACAAAAGGGGACTTTCACACCTCACTTGTGGCAAAGAATCTGCCTGCGAATGCAGGAGACATGAGTTTGATCCCGTGTTCTTGCCTGGGAAATCTCATGGACAGAGGAGCCTGGCAGACTATAGCCCATGGGGTTGCAAAAGAGTCAGACACACTTTAGTGACTACACAACACCTCACTTACCTCAGTGAACAAACATTCTAGACAGAAAATTTATCATGTAACAGTGGTCTTAACTGACACATTTGAACAGTTAAAAGCTACTGACAGGACATTTCATCCAAAAGTACCAGAATATACATTCGTTTCACATACAGATGAAACATTCCCCAGGTCAGATCACATGCTAGGCCAAAAAATAAGTCTGAACAATTTTAAGGAGAGAGATATTATATCAAGCATCTTCCCCCATTACAATAAAATTAGAAATCAATTACAGGAAGAAAAATGGGAAAAGCACAAATGTGAAGGCTAAACTATATCCTACTAAAAAACCAACTAATTGAAGAAGAAATCAAAGAGGAAATCAGAAAACAAGTTGTGATAAAGAAAAATGGAAACACAAAAGTCCAAAAATCTATGGCATGCAGAAAGCAGTTCTAAGAGAGAAGTGTACAGTAGTGCAGGCCTTTCTCAAGAAATAAGTAAAACCTCAAATAAAGTACCTAACCAATCACTTTTTAAAAAATTAGAAAAAGATGAACAAAGTCAAGTCATCAGAAGGAAGGAAATAATAAAGATTAGAGAGAAATGAATAAAACAGAGATCAATAAACAATAGGGAATCAATAAACAAGAGGGAAAAGGAAGGGGAAAGACAGAAGAAAGGGATTAAGAGACACAAACTACTGTGTATCAAATAGATAAGCAACAAGGATATACCATATAGCACATTTGGAATTATAGCCATTATCTTAGAAATAATTATCTTATTAATCTGTAGAAACACTGAAACACTATGCTGTAAAGTTGAAACCAATATAATGTAACTTTTCTTCTGGCTATGCTGTGAGAAACGTGGGATCTCTAATTCCCCAGTGAGGCATCAAACTCGTGCCTCCTGCATTGGGAGCAAGGAATCTTAATCTCTGGACCACCAGGGAAGTTCCTAATATAATACTGCAAATAAATTATACTTCAATTTTTAAAAGGCTGTGATACATATGCTCAAGAAAATAGAGAAAAGATAGACAAATTAGAAAAATCTTGGAGAATTTTACCAGAGAATTTGAGGATGTTAAAAAAAATTAAATGGATATTATAGAATTAAAAGATACATATCTAAAATTCTAACTCCTAATTTTCTATTTTATTTCCACCAAAGCATCCATCATGTGTTGTACTAATTACCTTGAAGTTAGGAGGGATATATAAGCAGACATAATATTATGAATCATTTCCAGAATAAACAAAATGCAAATGTCAATGAAAAAAAGAAGTCTTAGAATAAGATGGAAGAAGTCTGTAAATCTTGTTAAGGGATAATTACAATGTGAGATTTTATACCCATAGCTTCCTAGCTAGTTACAGCAGAAACAAACATCTTTCACCAACCTAGATTTTAAGAAATCTTTTTTCTATATGACAGACAAAATAAAAGCAATTGTCACTTACAGGAAGGTGTGTGAATACAGCAAAGGTGCTACGTAGAAAGGCAATGAGATCCACTAGATAATCACTGGCTTTGCTGCCCAAATCTCCTGTCATCCAGTCATAGTCAGCCAGCTGTAGGAACTGGTCAATCTTCTGATTTAAGTTGGTATAAATCTCTTCTTCAGCTGCATGTCTGGCATCCTATGAAATATGAAATTTTAATAATCATTCAGAATTGCATTACAAACAAAGCAGAAATTTCTGCTTGGAAACATCTCAAACTAAGTAACATAATTGAGAATATCAAGTAATATTACAGTCTCCATTAATTTTTCTTTTTTCCAGAAACTCAGTAGAATCTTTTCTATTTTCTGTCTGCAAGACAAGCTATTATTTAGATTTACCAAATAAGAAATTGCCTTCACTGCCCTCAGCTATCTGCATCCTTTTTACTTTCTTATCCATCAAACCACACTCAACCATCTATCAAACAAACTATCAAAACTATACTCATTCTCAGGATCCTGTTCTCTTCTCTTCTGGGATTCCAAGAACCTCCCTCTCGGCAATACCAACCCCTCTTAAAATTGCTATCTTCACTTTCCTTATCATAGGTTTCCTGAAGTTCCAAATTTAATGCTGTTTGTTTCCACTAGTTACTATCCCACCTTTCTAGATTCTTTATAATGAAGTTTCTTCAAAGATGGGCGCACATTTACGAAAATTATCAATTTCAGGACTAATTAACAATAGTCCTGAAAAGTGCGTAAACAATAGCAAAAAAATGTTCCTAAATCAAGTAAGTTTGAGAAACCCTATTTAAAAGAGTTGTGATGTACAGTGGCATATAAAAGGTGCTAAGAAGTGTCATGGAACTAAAGCTCCAAGAAAAACATTTTTAGGGCAAAACAGTCTAAACTGAAACGCTAACAATCCATCAATATAGATTGGTCCAGGGTAATTCGCCAGGCTACCATATCTAATATTCATTTTTCAGGCTGATCTTACTTGACCTTCCTTTGTTAAAACATCCTCTGCTATAACCCTGTTCCTTTTTTGGCTTTCAGGACATAGTTTTTCTTTTACTTTTCTGGCCTCTAATCCTCTCACTTTTGCTGAGTGATTTCATCACCTCCTATGCCTTTCACTATCTCTGTCCAAACCCATTCTTGTTAAAGACACATATATCTGATTGTTTCCTGCATTATGGTTCACAGAAACTTTAAATATTATTCTAGGTCCAGGACTTGAAGAACTATAATCCCCACTCTCGTCTGTTCATTTCAGTTCAAGGCAGAGATCTAAGCAACATATTAGATTCCACTGATTCTTCCATAGTTGGTCACTATGTCCTATAAATTCTAGCCTTCAAATTTTACACTAATTCATAACCTCTTCTCCATTTTCACCTTTTTAATACCTGCATAATTTTGCAAGGTATTTACATATTCTGATATAGGCATTGACTATGTTTACTTATATGAACAGTTACAAGAACATTTCTCTGATTACTTGCTTATTTACTTACTTGTATGATAATCTAATATGATCCTTGAATTCCCATTTTACTATTTTCTTTTAATAAACATCATTTTCTAGAAATTTTGGCTTGAAGAAAATTTGAGCAGAAAGTACAGAGAGTTTACAGATACTGCACCCCTGTCTCCCTCCTACTGTTTCCCCTATTTAAAAAAACCCTTGAGTTAGTGTGGAACATTTGTTACGACAGATGAACCAATACTGATATTTTATTGTTAACTAAAGTCTATAGTTTGCATCAGGTTTTACTATTCATGCTGTACAGTCCTATGGGTACTTACAAATGGATAATGCCATGTATTCACCATTACAGTCAGAATCATACAGAAGAGTTTTCTTGCCCTAAAAATACACTTTGCTCTGACTATCCCTACCTTGTTTATCCCCAAAATCTTGGAAACAATTGATCATTTTACTTTCTCCGAAATTTTAACTTTTTTGAGTGTCTTATACTTAGAATCATGTATGTAGCTTTTCAAATTGCCTTATTTTACTTAGCAATGTGCAGTTAATTTTCCTCCAGGTCTTCTGTGGCTTGATAGTTCACTCCTTTTCATCACTGAAAAATGTTCCATTGTCAGGATGCATCACAGTTTGTCTATTCATTCACCTACTGAAGGACATCTTGGTAGTTTTCAAGTGCAGGCAATTATGAGCAATGCTGCTGTGGCCATTCATGTATAAGTTTTCATGTGGATTAAGACTTCAATTCACCCCTTACCAAGGAACATGACTGATGAATTGCATGGTAAGACTATTTCTCTTTAGCCTTGTAAGAAACTGACAAACTGTCTTCCAAAATAACATTACCATTTTGCATTATCGTAGGAGATGGCTGGATGGCATCACCAACTCAATGGACATGAGTCTGAGCAAGCTCTGGGAGTTGGTGATGGACAGGGAAGCCTGGCCTGCTGCAGTGCACGGAGTTGCAGAGTCAGACACCACTGAGCAACTGAACTGAACTTTGCATTCCCACCAGCAATGAATGAGAAAGCTGCTACTGCCCCAGCGGTTGTTGTCACCATTTCGGGTTTCAGTCATTTTAAGAACTGTACATGGTATCTAACTGTTGTTTTAATTTATAATACCCTTTCCAGGCTCTGGTGTGATACCTGTTCAGATGTTTCGCCCATTTTTAGAGTGAACCCATATTAAACCCAGTTTTAAATTTGGTTATTGTTGAGCTTTACCAGGTTTTTTTTTTTTATCTATTAGATATTTTTTTGGATTTATTAGATATGACTTTTACAATATTTTCTGATTGTCTTTTCATTCTCTTAACAGTGTCTTGTCTACAGCAGCAGTTTTTCATTTTAATGAAGTCCAACTTAGTATTCTCTTTGATGGATCATGTTTTGGTTGTTGCACCTTAAAAGTTTCATAGTCAAACTCAAGGTCACCAACATTTTCCCTTATATTATCTTCTAGGAGTTTCATTGTGTTGTGTTTTACCTATAAGTCTCTGATCCCTTTTGTGTTCATCTTTAACTCAATTAACTCAAATTTTCTTGAGTTTAATTCAAACTGAAAATTTTTTTTTCTAAGAGACAGGTGATATATATGTATACTTGGAGCTGATTCACATTGCTGTACAGCAGAAAACAATACATTTTATAAAGAAATCATCCTCCAATCAAATTGTTTAAAAATTTCAGGAGAAAAACCATCAAAATTTTAACCCAATTTTGAAGTGTAACACCTGTGTCTAGATTTCTTTCTTTTTCTTTTGCATGTGGATGACAAGTTGTTTCAAAACCATTTATGGAAAAGCCTTTCATTTCTCCATTAAACTGACTTTACTCCATGTCAACAATCAATTGATTATATTTCTGTGAATCTATTTCTGGGCTACCTGTTTTGTTCCCTTGACTGAATTTTTTTTTTTATACCATTATCACATCGTCTTGTTACTGTAGCTTTACAGTAAATCTTGAAGTCAAGGAGTGTCAGTTCTCGAACACCGCTCTTCTTTGTCAATATTGTGTTGGCTGTACTGGGTGTTTTGCATTTCCATATAAAATTCAGAAACAATCTGTCAATATCCACAAAATGATATTTGCTGGAATTTGGACTGGGATTGAATCTTTAGATTAAGTTGAAAAGAACTGACATACTCATAAAATAATAAATCTACTTATCCATGAATATTTATAAAATAAATATCTCCATTTATTTAGATCTTACTTTTTTGACTACTTTGTATCAGGGTTTTAAAGATTTCCTCATATAGATACTGTTTATTTTGTTAGATTTACACATATTTCTATCCTACTTCAATGTTAATGTAAATAGTATTGCATTTTCAATTTCAAACTCGTTATTCATTACTGATACAAAGACAGACCAAATGACTTTTGTATATCACTTTTATAATCTGAACCTTGTTACAGTCTTTTATTACTCCCAGTAGTCTTTTTGTTGTTGTTAATCCTTTTACATTTTCTACTTTGTCAATTATGTCATCTGTAACCGAGATCAGCTTTATTTCTATCTTCCCAATCTGTAAGGGGCTTCCCTGGTGGCTCAGTAGTAAACAACCCGCCTGCCAATGCAAGAGATGCAGCTTCAATTCCTGGTTTGGAAGATTCCCTGGAGAAGGAAATGGCAACCCATTCCAGTATTCTTGCCTGGGAAATCCATGGACAGAGGAACCTGGTGGGTGACAGTCCACGGGGTCACAGAGTTGGACATTGCGACTAAACAGCAACATCCCAATCTGTAAATCTTTGATATCAAGGCTTACTGAGCATTGAAGAAGAATGGCACAAAAGAACAACCTTGCCTTCTTTTTTCATGATTTTAACAGGAAAGTTTCTAGTTTCTCACCAGCAGGTATGATGTTATTTGTAGGACTCATGCAGATGTTCTCTATCAAGTTGAGGAGATTTCCCCCCGCCCCTATTAAAGTTAGCTGAGATGTTTTATCATGAATAGTTGTTGGATTCTGTCAACACATTTTCTACATTTACTGATGATTCTATTAATCTAATTGTTCTTCTGTATACAGCCCATTGATACGATGAATACATTACTTGATTTCTGATGCTGAATAAGTCTCAAGACCTAGAATAAATCCCACTTGGCTGTCATGTATAATTCTGATACATCATTGGATTCAATTTAATAATGTTTTGTTGAGGATTTTACATCAATGTTCATGAGAACTACTGTTTTGTAGTTTTCCTCTTATACAACACCTGGCTGGTATTCAGATACTACTGAACATATACAATGAATTAGGGCTTCCCAGGTGGCTCAGTGGGAAAGAATTCACCTGCCAATACAGGAGCCACAGGAGATGTGGGTTCAATCTCTGAGTCAGAAAGATCCCCTGGAGAATGAAACAGCAACCTACTCCAGTACTCTTACCAGAATAATCCCAAGGACAGAGGAGCCTGGCGGGCTACAGTCATAAAAAGTTGGACATGACTGAGCAACTGAGCACACATGATGCCTACAGTGAGTTAGGTAGTATTTCCTCTGCTTCTACTTTCTAGAAAATATCATAAAGAAGGGGTGAAATTTTACCCTTAAATATTAGGTAGAATTCTTTCAGCTTAATTAGGATATAATTGAGAAGTTGCAAGATATTTAAAATGCACTACATAATACTTAAATACAGGGACACACTGCAAAAAGATTCCCCACATCAAGTTAAT